GTATCAGAATTCAAATGGGAACACAGGTTAATCTGGTGTGCGATAGTGGTGACGTGATTAAAATGTGACCACTGTAGCAAAATAAATAAGACTTAATCTGTTCATTTTCTTCTTTGTTGTTCAGGGGCTGGACCAGAGTGATTGTAGAGAAGCCGTTTGGACATGACCTGCAAAGTTCTGAAGAGTTGTCCACTCACCTCTCTTCACTCTTCACTGAAGAACAGATCTATCGTATAGATCACTATCTGGGCAAAGAAATGGTGCAGAACCTCATGGTGCTCAGGTAGGAAAATCACCCCCAACATTCTGATTGTCAAATAGATGACAGTAAAATGCTGTAAATTAGAATACAGTTAGCTTTCCTCCAGTTTACAACAGTTAGAGGAAAAACAGATGTCTAATTGATCTGAATGAATAACCAATTATATACGACATCATAATGAAACTCAAAGCATCCATATTGTAAGCATATCTGTGAATCATTCCTGTGGAAGGAGAGCTTTTTCTTTTTTAATTTCATGCTCAAACAATAATCTGTTCTTGATTTAAGGTAATTTAAAATATGCAGCACTTCAGTTTCATAGGGTTTGTGGTTTAGAGAAGCCCCCTGTGAATAGGAAACAATAAAAATAGAAACCGGCTTTTAGCCAAGAACTAAACTGAAGATAAATGTTTATGCAAGTTGTCATGAACAGCTGTTCTGCTGCAACGTGTGTGTGATGCAGAGCAGAGAACAATTATGTGATATTCATTGCAGGTTTGGAAACCGAATCTTCGGGCCCATCTGGAACAGGGACAGTGTGGCCTGTGTTGTTCTCACTTTTAAAGAACCGTTTGGCACTCAGGGAAGAGGAGGATACTTTGATGATTTTGGCATCATCCGGTGAGAAGCAAACACAGATCCTTAAAGTTTGTCTTTGCAATTTAAACCTCTGAGCCATAAAACCCACAAGCAGGTTTAAAGGAATGATATCTTTATCAACATTTATTAGAGCCAGAAAAAACAGAAATGAGTAAAAATGCGACAGAAGCAAAAAGAAACGCCCAGAAACAGTTTAAAGTTCAGAGGGTTAATGTTATAGTTTCATGTTTTGTTTTGTTTTTTAACTCATAAAAAATGAGCTGAGAAAAAAAAAAAACAAGATCTTGAAACCACCTGCTTAGCAAATATTTTCTGGTTCAATAATGTGTTGCCTTTTCATTTGTACAAAATTATTTGCAGCTCAGTGCAAATAGAATTAGTATAGACATGGGTGGATTTTAGAAGCCATGTGAAAACCCAGGATTGGTTTTAATTTTAATGAATGCGATTAAGCCCTCACAGTCTGCTCTGTCTTTTGTGTGACTGCCTGTTCCCTTCGTCATTATCAGAGATGTCATGCAGAACCACTTACTCCAGATGCTCTGCCTGGTTGCCATGGAGAAACCAGCTTCCACCAGCTCTGATGATGTCAGGGATGAAAAGGTGCAAAATCTTCACTCCTGCTGAAACACTCTGAAACACCTCCACCATGACAGATACGGCGACATTCAGTATTTTAACACATGAAAAAAAAAAACCATGACTGCTTCTTTATATTGTCCCTCCTGCAGGTGAAGGTGCTGAAGTGTATCGCTCCAGTGTCCATGTCAGATGTGGTGTTGGGTCAGTATGTGGGGGATCCAGAGGGTGAGGGAGACGCCAAACTGGGTTATCTTGATGACTCCACAGTACCTAAAGGATCAACTCAGGCCACTTTCGCCACAGCTGTGCTCTATGTGCACAATGAACGCTGGGATGGTAAAGATCCTTATTTCTTTAAAAAATAATAATAAAAGAAAAAAACTGCTATCTTAAAAATCACATCCACCTGTGCTCTTACATCATGCATTAAAAATGGACAAAAAATGTCCCTCCTCAGGTGTTCCTTTCATCCTGCGCTGTGGAAAAGCTCTGAATGAGAGGAAAGCTGAGGTGCGGCTGCAGTTCACAGATGTGCCGGGAGACATTTTTGGAAATCAGTGTCAGAGGAATGAGCTGGTGGTGCGTGTGCAGCCCAATGAGGCCGTCTACGCCAAGATGATGAGCAAGAAACCTGGTGTTTACTTCAGCCCTGAAGAAACAGAGCTGGACCTCACCTACAAGAGCAGATACAAGGCAGGTTCATTGATTTACTCGTGCTGCACTGCTTATTGCTCTGTTTCTCTCCGCTATACCTTTTTTTCCTATATCCGTACCCTAACCCCAACTAACTGAGGCAGACGGCAGCCCTCCCTGAGCGGAGCTTGGATCTGCTGGATATTTATTCCTGTTAAAATGGAGTTTTTTTTTCCCTCTCACTGTTACCAAAGTGCTTGTTCAGTTTTGTAGGGTTTTTCTCTTTAATTTAATATATTAAATATTTACTATGAAGTGCCTTGAGATGATTTATTTATTTATTTATTTTCATTTAATTTGACCTTTATTTAGCCAGGAAGTCCCATTGAGATTAGAAACCTCTTTTACAAGGGAGACCTGGCCAAGGTAGCAGCCATACAGAGTCAAAAAACGAACGTAAAACAGATGCATGATATGCAAATGAATAATGTACAATTAAACAGATCGACAGCTATTCAAGGACAGAGACATTCCTCTTTTACTGTATTCTTTATGATGCTCTTTAACTCATGAATGGATGTGAATGTTTCTAGTTGAAGAGTTTGTTTTTGTTACTGATGACTTGTGAATTAGCGTTGTATCAGTAATACTGAATTGAATTACATTTATAATGTTTAAGTTACAAACTGCTTTGGAGCTAAAGATAATACTGGAACAAAATGACAACTACAGTCTACTCAGTATTTTCATAGTAGTTTATAGTTTGACCTATGAAATGTCAAAGATTTGTAATGTCTTATCATAAAAGACAAAGATAAGTAATAATACTTACATCTGAGGAGCTGGAGCCTGCAAATATTTGCCATTTTTTACTCAGCAGAAAGTGTTTTTAATCTTCTTTAATTTTTTATTAATTTATTTTTTTAAACCTGAAATAAAACTAGTAGTTAAAATAACAGGATTCTTACAAAGCGATGTTTCTCACATGTTCTTATGTACCTTGTTTAGTGATGTAAAACTCTTTGTGTTTTCAGGATGTGAAGCTCCCAGACGCTTACGAACGTCTTATCCTGGATGTCTTCTGTGGAAGTCAGATGCACTTTGTTCGCAGGTCAGTCTTCATTTCCCACCACAGTCCTCTCATGTTATGTCTGTTAAACCAGCAGACACTAGATGGCGCCGTAGTGCATCTTTTCTCTGCTGCAGCATGGCAGAAGCAGAGTTGTAACACCTTGGACCCTTTTATATTTTACCTGACATTCTTTATGTTGAATTGTTGGTGTCTGCAGTGATGAACTAAGGGAAGCATGGAGGATCTTCACCCCTCTCCTTCATCAGATCGACAAAGAGAAGCCGAAGCCTATTGCTTACAGATATGGAAGGTAGGAATTGTTGTTCCCTCTGCCCCCAACAGGATGAGAGATTTTCCTCCCAGTGCTGATTGTGTCTCTTTCCCTTTCAGCCGTGGCCCCACAGAAGCAGACGACCTTTCGAAGAGAGCTGGATTTCGCTACAAAGGCACTTACAAATGGGTCAACCCTCACAGACTTTGAATTGTGATGAGATGAGGGAGGAGTAGAGGTAGGACAGTAGAAGGAGTGCAGCAGGGTAGGGGAGCAGTCATGTTCCAATACTGAGGTGTCTTTGAGGGAGGAGGTGTTTCCACTAAGTGGATCCATCGAGCAGATAAGTAGAAGCTGTTTCAAAAGAAAATCTCAGGTAAAGAAATTATTACCTGGAGCCTGTTCATCAAACATTTAAATTGAAATTATTATATAAATTATGAAATAACAATGTTACTGTGGTCTTATACCACAGTAGTAGTGTTAATTTTCATAAGTTCACGGCAGCTTCTTAAGTTTGAATTTACAGAGTGGGACCAAGTCCATTAGAAAAAAATATCTGTGAGCAAAGCAGTCGTCTGATGAACTGGCTCCAGATCCCTGTCCCCATTATTTGGTCTTATTTGGTCAGGATTGTAAACGGAATAACCGAGCAACAAGAACAGCAGAAAACGAAACACTCCGCTGAGTCATGATCACAGGATGTAAACCAAAGATGCTAACCGAACGCTGCAGAGACGAGGAACAGGATCGATTGTCCGCCAGCTGTCACTCTTAAGCATTGTGATTGTAATACTGTCATGCTTTGACTGCATCTTTCTTTTTACAACTTCTCTTTTTTTTGCCTCCTCTGCCTGGGACCAAGGGTTGTTTAATATGAATAGACTTTAGCAAATGGTGACAGTTTCTCTGAAAAGAATTTATACTGCAATAGTCTTAAATCGTCCTTCTGGACAAACAAAACAAGCTGTGTCTTGTTTAGTAGCCTCCCTCTGAGCTTCATTCCCTTTTGTTTACATTTTTTCCAGATTTATTTAAGTTGCTGACTTTGATTCCATATTTCAAAAATACCCAGACAGCAGTGGTGTCTGCCACAGGTCAACAGTGAATGTCTGCTACGGTGTACTGTATACTGCTGTTAACTGCACACTCTTGTAAAGCTAGCTACATTTCCACTACTTGTAATAAACTAGCTTTGCTTCTCTGTTAATGTATTCCTTGTTTTGTGGTACTGATGGTTGTTTCAAAGAACTGAAGTGACTCTTAGATGGCTCACTGGCCTTGACTTGCTGCTGCTTAGATGCACGAGATAAAACGGTTCCATAGAGCTACTGGAGGTGTAAAAACACAATGGAAATCTTTAGGACTGTGTTAAGAGAGTACTGTAGAAAAATAAGTTTTCAACAATTGTGTTTAAGATATAAGTTACATATTTTTCATATTAAAAATGTCACAGTTCTAGGCAAACTATGAGCCCTAAAACTAAATCAAGACAGTGTTACTTTCTACCATGATTCCAGCTTCACTGCTGGGTAGTATAACAAGGATTGTTGCGACAGAGTCAAAAATGAGTCGAGCCATTTGACACCTGAATTAATTTATTCACAAACAAATATTGGGATCATTTCCAATGCATTAGATGTAACTGAGGGAAAACTGGTTCAGGCAGGATCACGTTAACAAATGGCGTAATCGATGGACGGTATGTTAAAGGAGAATTCTGGTTTATTTCAACCTGCAATATTTCACCTTTAGGGATTTATAAAAATCCCTAAAGGTGAAATAGCCGCTGCCCCTTTTATAGCCCCTATACATTGGTTGCCAGCTCAACCAAATGAGCTATAGCAGCGGCCCAGAATTTTGATATTTAGTGAGATAACAAGTGCCAGGTTTACCACCCCTCTTGCACTGTCCCACATCTTCCCTCCCCCTCCTTTTCCACTACGAACATGCATAGGAAACACTGGAATAATAATGTGTGGGTTGGTCCGAGCCATTTTGTTCCCATTTACAGAGCAAGGCCTGTGTACGAACATAAGTAAAGCTTATGACTTGTGAGAAGATATTTACAAATTTGACAAAGTGCATTGGATTAGTATCACCAGCTATTGTGGCTCCATGGGTCAAAATAACTTCACACTCTCCACCTTTGTTCCAGATATCTGGGAATCGAGGCCGCATATATTGGGGCGACTGGTGTGAGCTCCTTGTAGCTTTAAAAAAAAAAACAAAAAAAAAAAACGTAATTTTCACATAATTACACAAATCCCCTTGACATGTTGCTTTGTAGTGTCACACGGCAAAAATCTATCTCCACAGTGCTGTAGAATGGCCTGGCTGCACCTCATTAGCATTCATAAGGGGGTGGAAAAAAAAACCTTCTAGGTTGTTTTTATTTTTACAAATCAACTGTGCTGCTTGGCACTAAATCCAGTATGCAGATGATGTCTGCAAAAACATGTCAAGGGGAAACTTTTTGTTGTATATTTGCATTCTAGCACAATCAAATCTTGAGCAACACTTTGCATTTTCAGGTGTAGCTTACGGTTTGAAGGTTGCTGTTTGTACTAAAGGGGATTTTAAAAATGGTAACAATAGATAGTGGGAGGGGAGGAGAATACCATGTGAAATGTGTGTGAGAAATGCCAGGATTACACCTTTAGTCTTCATCTGGTGGGCAAATAAATCTGTATTTTGTGTAACTCCTCATGTCTCCAAAATATCTATGATAGAGGTGGTGAGTACAAAGTTGACATAGAGCCACAGTACTGGGTTTACTGGTACTCACAAAGTTGAAATGAACCAGAATTTATCCTTTGAGTCTTTGATTTGACTGCGAAAAGAAACCCTAAACACAAAAACAAGACTTAACAACCATGCATTTTAAGGCACGTTAGCTTTCTTTGTTAAAAACACTCACTGTGCGATCGACAGCATGTTCATATACAGTACAAGGCAGGAAATGTTCTTGTGAATTATGTAAGACACTTAAAGCATACAAAGACATGACGAAGTGAGGTATTACATCTATAATTAAATAATGTGCGGTGATGGACAGGCGTTCACTGGACGGCAACATGAATTTTCGATAAGGATAAATCCCTCTTCAGAAGGCTGTCAATAACTCTTTGCCCTGAGTGGTTGGAACTTGTAGAAATCTGAATGCATTGTGTAGTATCATATAAACATTGTACAAATGTTAGTCACTGAATTGCAGTCACTGTCGCGTCTTCTGAAGTTTGAATTCAAATAAGTGTGATATCTTGTGAAGTCGGAATTTCTATATTAGCATTGGGATTTAAAAACTGACACCATGCATACTGATTTCACATGGCTTTTTAAAAAACGCATGCATCTCAGGCTAAAAGAGCTATCCGACCATCAGAGGGAAAGAAAACTCAACAATTATCCTACAAGTTTTAGTACATGTCTGGAAATAAAAGACCGCACTTTAGAAAAAAACAAAAAAAAAAGATGTCAGCAACTGAATGTTAAGGACAAAGTGCTCGAACTTAAAAACACGTTATGCAACCTGAACATGATTTTGCTGGCTGGAGCTGTTCAGTCGCATGACAGCCGTGGAGTGACGTGTCACCCTCCAACTCTTTCTGGCAGGTGACATAAAAGGGGTCATGTTCTCTGTTAAGAAGGCACTCAGTGTTTTTTTTTCTTCTTTACATGTGCTCTGGATGATTTTGCAAGCAGCTTATGAACTCTGTGACTGGATGGCCCTGGAAGCAGATCTGATATACTGCATTGAACAGTGGGAACCTGCAGGAAGGAGGCAGCGTCAGTGAAGAACTGCTGATGCCTTTTTTTCTTTAAGCCAAATAGAAAAAGTGATATGAGTCTGTGTGCTGTGCTGCTGCCCAACTTACTTGTCAATCAGGTTTTTGTGCTTGAGGATGAGATAGACCTCAGCCGCTGTTGCTGGACCCTGCAGCTTCTGACCGTTCAGCATCTCTTTCTCCAGATCCTCGATGGACTGAACAAAACAAGGAACATGCAGAGGATGCTTAAATTGAAGAGGAGAGAAGGTCTGCACGTTCAGTTTGTCACCAAGTGGTTTTAAACAGTCATCTTACTCAGTTGTTGCTCATAAAATTTCCAAGTCTGAACTGCATGCTGTCACATTAATGGATAGGCACGCACAAGCAACGTACATCGAGTTTTGTGAAATGATTTTAGAGTCCCCCCCCATTTTAGCACAAATGTTGGTTACCTAACATCAGAAGAAGCAAAATAGACAGTCTGCTGCCAAAAAAAAAAAAAAAAAAAAATCACCATTCTCATTTATTTTGCTCTACAATTTTACATCTATATCTACAGCTATATTCATAAACATAAAACTTCACTACTGCGATGAAGACAGACTTTAACGTCAGATTATCGAGTCTTGCTAATAGTTACTGTAAACCAGGTTTTAACAAAACATTAACAGCAACTGAAGTTCAGTTTGTTGCCTCCAGCTGTTAATAGTTTATTAAGTAACAACAGCAGGATCCATATGATGGTCCCCTGGAGAGCTGTGTGCATCTATACACATAAAACAATGCACGACTCAAATGCATCAGCTGTTGCACACATTTTATAGGCTGCAGTTAAATCATTTGTCACACAACGGCCGTCCTTAGGTTGGCCAAAAAAACACGATTTTACTTAAGTTTTATGAAATACTGTAACTAAAATATGTATGCCTTCTACAGTTTGTTTGAATCAGGGTGTAATTATTTTTCTAATAAACAGATGATGCTCTAAAAAAATGTTGGCATTTTTTTGTCCAGGTTACTGTATTGAAAAGGGAACACTGTGGCTACATATATACATACGGGGCTCTTCTTTCTCTTAAAAATATTGATCTCAAAGAGAATGTTTGCAAGAACATTTGGAGCTCTCACCTTGCCCGTTTTAACAAAAGCTTCGGCTACTTTTCGGTTGCGGCCACCGTAACAGGTGGTGATGAGGTCAGCCACGCCGCAGCTCTCCAGGAAGGTTGCAGAGGACACGGGCCCAGCAGTGCAGAAAATGCGGGCGAAGGCGATCATCTCCATCAGGCCCAGCCGGATCACTGCTGCCTTTGTGTTGTCCCCGAAGCCCAGACCGTCACAGAAACCTGCCCCGACCGCAACAATATTCTGAAGGAAGGATGCAGGAAAAGTGTAAGATACAGACATAAAATCAGTGAACGAAAGAACCAACTACCATCATCATCATCTGCCAAAGATTGTTTGAGGTGAAAATTTCCTTTTACCCCCCCCTCCCACACACCCATTTTTTAAAATGAGCTGTTCTTGTGTAGATCAGCATATTGGATGAAAATGACTGAATCACAGAGAGCTTTCTCCTAAACATCACTCAGTCTCAGCAGCCATTCACCGAGTTATTACAGCAACTGAGCCACATTCATGCAGAAAAACAGAAAAACACAGTTTCAGTACTGGGTGTTCTGTGTTTGATTAAGGGCTGCAACCTACCATTAATTTCACTGTTTCATCTTTTATGTGACAAATGGTTTAGTCTAAAAAAAAATCTTAAAATAAATAAATAAAAATTGTGGGAAAAAAATGCAGAACCCAATGTGATGTCTGAATAACACCCACAGAGAACAGAGAAAAGATGCAAATCTTCACATTTGAGAAGCTGGTATATGACACTGTCTGGGCGTTTTTGCCTGAAGAATGATTAATTATTAAAATTATTTTGATAATTAATAGAGAAAAAAAAGTGTTATAGCTCAAAGTATGTATACAGATCTTGGAAAATGAATTAAAATGTTGTGATTTTTAAATCACTTCACTACTCAGTGCTCAGTGTAAATCTGTAAATGTTCATCTGAATGGCAACATTACGACACTGTCACTTTCTGTGATTTCTGCTTTCTTCTTAGGACATTAAATTTAATGTTGTGTATGTGAGGCATCACTTTCATGAGCATACAATATCTGACATATGTCTGGAGTAAAGTAACAAAATGGTTTCATTTTGGCCGACTTCTGCTCATTGTACAAACACAGATGTTGCTTCTTGGTACAGTGAATGAGATCTGTCTGTATTCCTCCATCAGTGTGACCGACTTTAGTGCCTTAAGCTCACATTATAATGGGTTTACATGTTTCAAGGCTGACTTAACAAAGAAATACAACTTTTACACTGGTGACACAACACAGTGGGAGCCCATTTTTGCTGCCTGCACATGTGTTTGGTTCTGGGAGTTCTCACCTTCAGGGCTCCGCAGATTTCCACCACGTCGTACTCCTCCACTACAGTAACTCGGAAGTTGTTGGTCTGCATGAGTTCCTTCAGGAGAGCCCCGTGGTTTTTATTCTTACAGCCTGGAAGCAGAAAAAAAAGAAGAGTCAACATTACAAACTGTATCACTCAGATGCCTTTAAAAATACCATATTATGAACATTTTCAGGTTCATCACTTTATTTTTTGGGGGCGGCTACTAGAGAAAGATTACATAAATTAATGTTCAAAAACGCATCATTTTTTAAAATACTGTACACTGCTGCAGCCTGTCTTCTTACTCTCTGAAACGCTTGGTTTTAGTATGCTACTGAAAAATGAAGCCAAAGATTGCAGTTCCTCAAATGGCCACTTGAGGCTGGACATAAAAGTGAGCCAATCCCCATAACCACCATGTTAAAATGCCTAAGATCACAGCAGCAATAAACATGTTTATAGCCTTTAGTTGTAATAGCTAATTTACATGTTTATGACAATTGTACAGGGGTGAATTTTTATGTAATTAATTCAGCATCTAGCAGAAGAGGCTCTAATGATGAAGTAATAGTGGACTGTCTGGAAGCTCCTCATTCTTTGTTTGAGGGCCAAACTTGGCTTCATGGAAATGCATTACATGGCGACACAGATAAGCAACAGAGGAAAAGCCTGGACTTCAAACCTGGCATTTCAGGGAGGTGTGGAGTGTTTTCTGTAGGAGACAATAACTTCCTTTGATGTGAACTTTAGATGCTGTTTGCAAGTTTGCATTACATGCACAAAACAGCTACAACACACTAAAGCACAGGGAGAAAACTAAAGAAGCATAATTTGGTCTCTTTAAGATGGTGAACATGCAGCATCTGCTCTGATGCAACACATATTAACCCTGTCAAAAAAAGGTTTGTATTTATTTTAGTTCCACGATATGCTAACAGTTACTTCCATGTGGTAACCAAAGATTAAACTTTCATCCTTTGCTGAGGTCACAGAAAGCTTAAACTGAAGCAAACTCGCTTCCTGTTTCAAGGCTAAAACGTGCTTTATGTGGATCTTGAGCTATTGAGCAATGTGCATAAATGATTCAGCAGTAACACGGTCATCAGACTAACCAATGGTGGTCTCGCAAAACTTCTCATCTGCAACCTCATTGGCAATGTTGGCCCCCATCAGCACGCTCATGGTGATGCCGAGCTTCTCCTGGATCACGTCAGAGATGAGTTTGAGCCCGTCAGGCCCCTCGTCAACACCCTGGAAGAAGGAAATAGGTGGAATATTTACACTGTGACACAGTAATCAGGTGCCTGGATTATGCATATGTTGCACAACAACGCTGCTGCAAGCTTCAACCTTTAACCCGCTCACAGACTGCACAAAACCGTGGCACCACACCAGAGTTCTGAAACACAAATTCACAATGCATCGAGAAGAGCAAAGTCAAACCTTGATGAGGGATATTCCCAGCGCGTCGCTCTTTATCTTTCCCTTCACTGTGTCACACACTCTCCCAACGAACTGGTGTGGGATCACAAACACCAGAATGTCTGCATCGCTGGACGCCTCCACCAGGTCCGGCACCGCCAGCTGACCGGGGGGGAGAAGGAGGGTGAGGATGATGTTGTAAGAGGGAGAACATCAGTAAAGCTTGATATTGTAAGTGTTGGTGCAATGACCTGCTGCATTGAGAAAACTGATGTTACAAGTGTATTGCAAAAAACCTCTTAAGAATAAATACTGGCACAACATGTCTATGCAAGGCAGCAGAGACCACCAAAGAACATCAGAATATATTGTTTCTTACCACATTTGCTGGTAGCTTGTGTCCAGGAAGATACTTCACGTTTTCATGATCGGCGTTGATTATTTCAGTGAGTTTGCGCCCATTCACCATCTCCTCAAACACCCACATTTTGACAGTATTGTCAAATTTGGGATTCCGAGCAGCATTGGCACCCACAATCTTGGCAATGGCAGAGCCCCTGTGTTGTCAACAGTTACAGTTTAACTTACAATAGGAATCATGTTAAACCCACACTGCACTCAAATGGGTGGAAACGATACAGAATATGGTATGAACCTAAAATGAATATAGTGGAAAAACAGATAAGTGAATGACTGAACATCTTGTGATTTTGCCTTATAAATAAGGACTTCATGTGACTGCTGGGGTGATCAATTTGATCAGTTTACTGTTTTCTAAGAAGGATGGCCTGGCAGCCTGCACACAAGATAAGTCTGTACAGTGTGTGCCTTTGTACCCTACATACTGTGGTTTCATGTGGTGCGCGCCAAAATCCATTGAGAATTCCGGCGATTTTCAATGAGTTTAATCAATATCACATTTTACGATGGATTTTCACACAATTTCCAGACTTTTTTCAATTTGTTTTTGGGAGAACATGAATTCGGCATATAGCAATTTACTTTCAATTTCTTTTCAATGACAGCTACAGTCCTAAAACACTGTCAGTTCGTGTGTATGTCTAACAATGGATAATAAAACACATTCTGACCGTTTGACACACTAAAGCTACACGCCGATATTTCCAGATGACTTCTGAACATATATTTATGGCTTGAAATTGTGTTTTTGTCGCTTTTGGATTTGGAAGTATACGCGATAACTTTAATACATCGGGCTGTTGAATGGAGGTTTGGTTTGAGCCGAGCTAACGTGTTGACTACAAGAGCGCAAAAATCCCTGTAATCGTGACTGACATGTGGTGAGTTTTCTGCACACTCAGCCACTTTGTCGGCATGTGACTCTAATCGGGACTAACACTGAGCTGTGGTCCTGCTAACGAAGCTCCGGTAGTTACTGCTAAAACTTCCCTGTTACTATGGAGAGCGTTGCTAGTTAGCCGGCTGGTTACCCTGTGATGCTAGGTTGGCTAGCAACCACGTAGCTGCTCTGCGGGTTAAGCACGAAGGCGAACACGGTTCAGGATATTAAGACAAAAACTTGCCAGTTTCCAGAGCCCACGATGCAGACTTTCTTCGCAGCTGCCATTGTGAGGAGGTAAACCGCTGTGTGGAGGTGAACCTGCACCGACTGCAGTCCTGTTATGCAACGCACTCTGATTTTATTGGCCTGTCCGAGGGGGAGACGCCGGTCCGCCCATCGCAACTCTGAGCGACTCGTTGATGGATCAGAGGAGAGGTTAGTAGGCTCAAAGTAACCAGGGCAAAAGTCTCCGGGTGAACCTCCGTCACCATAAACCTCTCTGTATGTGCAAAGTACATTTAATAAACACACTTCACTCAGGTTTTCCCTTCTTCTCCCCTGCTGAGTTTACAACCAGCTCTGCTCCCAGTAGACCACACATAGGGAAAAAAATGCAAATCAATGAATTCAATTCTAATAAGAACACTTTTCACATTTAACAAACTCTCTACAATATCTCACTTTCGACATATAAGAGAATCTGTGGTGCAATATCTGTATTTACAATAACCCTGTGCATTATTATAAATATAATAAATATCAACAGTACTTGTGTGTATTTCTTGTATTAAAAAAAAAAAAAAATTCTACTGATGTCCCAACATTTTTTTTTTTTGCATCATCACCTCTGTACATTTCCCAGCTGTAGCATAGATAAAGGCTTATCTTATCTTTACAGAATACAGGAAGCTTTTATTGCTAGGTGAGCTCCTACACACAAGGAATTTGACATGGTAAATACTATGTAAATTAAAACTACTGCGTAAAAGAGACATACATTTGCATCATTTAATTAACAGTTACCCAGATTAAACATTTCCATACAGACCATGTTCTATGTTATTTCATTGTCTCATAAAATATGATTTATTGCTCCATAAAAATGCCCAACGTGATTCAAAGAACGAGCAGTTTCAACATTAACTTACAAGTTAGTGCATCAGAACCAACAATTAATAAATATTTACAACAGGGGATTTTAGGGTGGGAAGAGGAGATGTCATCCCCTAAATCACGAGAATGTATCCCCCTTGTTAAGCTGGTTGTGTCAAATCTAATCAGTTATGTATTGAAAACTTTCAAAACAACATATTAAGCCAAAGTGCTTTCCAATAGAGAAATAAGACTGCAAATTTATCAAACAGGTTTGACCCTGCAGTGGGATTTGTGATTGAATTTATCTGGGTTTATTAAATATTAAGGTTAAACCCCTACAAAATGGTATAAAATACAATTTTAACCAACTGAATTTAATTGCAAGATTAGGACTATACAATATTTAGATTATAGAGACTTACCCGACTATTTTAAACCTTAAACCCTACAAAACTATACATGAAAAACACAACAAAACTACAGGTTCCCTATGAGAAGCATATTTGCAACTCTGCAGCTGCCATCCAGCATCTGATGTTGTTAAGACAGCTGGGAAGGCTCATCAGTAAATATATAAGTGGTCGGGGGTAACTGGAAGGTAAAACTGTGTGTCGTCAGCAAAACAAACATAATCTGGCATACTGGTTGGCAGTGAGGAAGCAGCATAAAAAAAACTCTTTGAATGAGAAGGTGTGTCCAAACTTTTGGTCTGTACTGTACGTAACGTGTATTCACACTCATCCATCACTTTATTCGGTGCACTTGTGCAGTCTGATGCTGTCAACAGCTCTGCCATAAATTCTACTATTGCAAAGTCATTGTCACAGTTTGTTGATGTTGTCAGAAAGATGATAACTCTTTATTTTTGTTGAGTTTGTGGTGGTGGATTACACTGAAATTATCCATAATGTTTTGTTCACCCCAAACAGACCCTTCGTCTTCCACTTTGATACTTTGTATAAAATAAGCACATTTTACTGACAATAAGTAGAAGCTGGATTCTTAATTATATTTGAGTATTATAATTGGAATGAGTTTGCAATTTCACTGATCAGGGAATTGACTCAATCCTCTGCCCTTTGAAAGAACACAATAATCCCTAATAAAATACCTTTGCTGAATTTTTTTGTACATTCTCTGAAATCCTGTCTGTAAGTGTTGTAAAGGCTGCAATGGAAGGAATCTACTGCAGCACTTAGTAAAATCGTACTCTATACACAGTCCAAATTTATTGTGTAAACTACATTTGCTGTCTACTGTAGCTCAAACTCAGACAGTCTTATACTCTAGAAAAAAACCTGATTTAAATCCCATTTTGTGAACTTTGTGATGGTTTTTGTAGTTAAAAGCGTTTTTAAAAGTTTTGTTCAACTCAATTGTGGAGGATTTTAGAAGTTTTAAATGAAGACTAAATATTAGAAACATGTCACATTACAAACTGAGTGGCTATGCCATTAAAAGACTGGTTACATTTCAGAGCATCAGCGATGAAAGCAATCCAGGAGTTTAAGTTATTTTACTTGTCATAGTCTGATTTAGCTATTTGTACTTAAATAAATGATAAGAATAATCCTGGATTTGCCAAACAAACCTTTCTATTAAAATCACAGGATGTATGCTGTGTTGAATTTGCTCTGTGCCACGCATAGTCAGGACATTAGAAGTCATATGAGCGACCACAGAAAATTCAGTGTGGGAGAAATTATTTGGTCTGGAGGCCTCGAACAAAAGAGGACCTTGTTACATAAGACAGCAAACAGAAGAGGCGTCGCAGGAAGGAACTAAACTCAGCAGTCTGGTTACTAAGTGCAGGAACAAACTCAGAAAATCCAGCTTACTGTGCTGAAAAGTGTTCATCAATATGTCTCCAGTCATGAGCTACAAGTGTTTCCTCATTTGTAGTTGATGCTACACTAATGATTTAGTCAAATGGGATTTTTTATAATGAAATAACGCTCTAATGAGGCTTCGGCCTGTCAGTGTTTGAATTATCGATGCACTGATGAATAGATGCAGAGATTTGTCACAATCATAACAATAAAAAATTCTGTTTTCGTGGCACAAACAGCTGAAGGCACTCGAGGCTTTTTACGACTGCATTTTAAAAAAACAAAAACAAACAGCAGCGCATCAGTATTATGGTAATTAGTAGACCTATTGTTGTTTTTGCTTTCGAATGTTCTAATGAAAGAAACCAAGCAGCAGGGAACTACATTTAACAGATGCCATGATATCTCACAGTGTAACAGAAATGAATTCTGCTTTTGAACTACATTAAGTGACTGGCAACACTCACAGATATACACACATGTACATTTACATACATCAGGAAGGTTGAACTAACTTTCAGGTAAGGAAAATGCACTTTACATTTCTGTTGAAGTGACACAGTGTATCAGCAAAATGTTGAAAATGATCCTCATCATTCAGCTGTGTTGTTGCGTTCCGTGCTCCTAAATGTGAAGTCGTGTTGCTGCAGGCTCATTTGATTAGCAGAGAACGTCTTTGTCGTGACTTTACGGCTGAACATGCAAATGCTAAAGTGACTTTAGAGCTTTTAGTTTGTCTCCAGGCGTCTTTGTCAGACGTTCTTTCAAACGAAAACTTTGTGGAAACTATCTGCAGCACTAACTCAGTTTCCTGCTTCACTGTGTATGTAACTTCTGTAAATAATGTGACTTTAAATGTAAATACTGTACTGGAAATGTAATTTAAAAACATAACTGTGAAGCCTGCCAAAGATTTATGTAATCTTTGAACTTTTTTTTTTTTTTACTATATCTTCCCAGTTTCTAAGTAAAACTACAAAGCCTCCTCCAACCAGTCAAGTGGAAGTTTACATCCAGACTGTCCAGACTCATATAATATATGTAGTGAAGGCTTTGAAATGTGTAAGTTCATTTGAGAGTCAAATTCCTTCTATGTATTCACATGCATGGCCAATGAAGTCATTTCTACTGGAACATGAAGTAGTAGGCAATGGCAACAGACAGCACTTCAAACATGGATGTTGCTGTATAGAACCTTTTAAATTCTTAAATGTGGATGTTTCACACACATCTTCAAACCGGCAGCACAGAACATCAATGCAATCACAACACTTCTAATGTGGGCAGCCAAGATTAGAGTGGCCAGTATGGAGAAAGAAGTGTTTTTGCAGAATATTATGATATTGCAATCAAATCAACCTTTGACCTTTTAGATATAAACTTTGATCACTTCATCATTTTATTGTATTAGACATTTGTGTGAAAGTTTGTTGTAATTATTATATGAATTGTTGAGGTACGGCCAAACATGTATTTTAAGTCACAGAGAGCTTTTACCACCAAATTCTAATCAGTTCATTCTTTGGTCCAAACAAAAGCTTGGTCAAATTTGAAGAAGTTCTCTAAAGACATATGGTATTCATAGGAATAGGAAGGTTAGCCCAAGAACATAGTGCCGCAGGCCAGCGGAGGTATAATGATATAATCAAGGCCATTTTACAGCTCATGAGTTTTGTTTAATTATTTAAAAAAACATCTTAAATGAATGTTTTACAGAAATATTTCTGGGTAAAGAGAAAGTATTTTGGCATGAAAACCTGAACCTAAAAGCTCCATCCAAATTCAGGGGTTGCATGATTTGGAGGCTACTTTCCAAGACCGAATGCATCAAAGCGACGCAATGAAGTCTGTCCTGTTTTGAAGCTTTGGTCAAATTTGCCCTATAAATGGAGCCACTTGTTGGAAAGAAAATTCTCACAATTAGAGCCTTTCCTGTCAGAACCAAGACAATAAAATAAATTCTGACTACTAGATCTTAAAGCCTAAAGGACAGTGACCACTGCTGCTAATGTTGCTAAACAAAGAAATACTCAGTGTGTGCGGAGATCAGGGTCAGTGCCAAAAGAGTTTTATATTCCTAACGGATTTTAAATACGATTGTGTCTCGCACTTAAATAGAAACTCGCAGATATTCGTCCGTCTAATCTCAGACATTAGCACACACCAGGTATTGAAAATAATGGTGCGTCACACATTATGGGATGTTATGGAGATTATCGTGTCAGAGGGTGCAGTCAGGGAGCAGAGAGACACCTCATGAGATCTCACTGAGACTCAGATGTAAACAAAATGATGACTGTGGTGCAGCAGCTTGCTGTAATGATAATAATACTTTGCAGTGTGGAAAAAAAAGCAGAAGGTTTATTAAGTCTGGAGGACAAAATGGTTGGATAGATGCGGTCAACACATGCAGTTGTTTCTTTTTCAGCAAGAACTTGAGGTGAGATCCAAACTATTCAGATTTTATCTCATT